TACTACAGACTGAAATTTGTAAGAGGATGAATCCTAATGACCCCCGATGTTCCTTCCATCGCCATCATTAGGCATAATTTAAATTTGTCCAATGCCATTACCATAAGCCTCATATGTAGTTTGTTTCAGCGCTTGTTAGCAAATGTTAGCGTGCTACCATGCTAAACTAAGATTAACATGGTAAACATTACCAGCTAAATACCAGCATGGTAACATTGTTATTGTGAGCATGTTAGCATGCTGGTGTTAGACTATATATAGTCTGAAACAGCCAGCATGGCTGTAGATGCTCTTGCTGTAAGTGTTGTTCAAGGTGATTTGTTTTTCTCACTGTATTGCAGCGCTTCCATTCATTGAAGCTATACCAATTTATTTTTGCCACTCAGTAGTGTAGGGGGGTATCATGTGAATAAATACATACCCTCTACAGTAAATGAGTTTAAATGAACCGTTTGTTTTAACCATCAGCTTTACTTAAATCAGAAGTAGACTGCTCAGTTTATTTCATCTGAAAGAAAATCAAAGTTCTCATTTAGAAATCCAGCACTTTAGTTTTTGGTTTTTGAATATTTTCAAAACCTTTCGATGCCTTAAATTCAAGGGTGATACCCAGCCCTAATGGAGCAGATAGTGAAGTTGGTTACACTGTATACAGCATTACCATGGAAAATGATTCTGCATCACTACAGTAACTAACTTACCAGCAGGAGTGCTTCGATTGTCAGTGAACAATTAATGGTGCTATGCTCCCATTGCTGCGGCCTGCAGGGCCCTCTTCTGTGGAAAGACTTCAAATCCCACCGAGTTTTACAGAAAATACTTTGGTTACTTAGTTTAATGTTCAATTTAAGTCTTCTCTAATACATTTCCTTCAAAACCTCTGAGAGGTATGAAGGAGTGAGTGAGTGTGTTTGAAGTGTAGCGCAGCCAGGGTTCAAAGAGAGGCTTCTCCACAGTTTGTGTGTGTGTGTTTGTATGTTTTATGGAAAGGTTCTTCCAGATATGAAACAGTTTTTTTGATTTTTGTTTTTTTTTGTTTTTTCTTTGGGACCAGGTGGAGTTCTAGTTAACAGCAACCGTAAACTTCAGCTGAAATTCAGCTGTTTGCACAGAGTTCTCGAGTCTACTTTCGCTGCTAGTTTGTGTAATTTATCAAGCCTTTTTGGGAAATATTTATTTTTATAAGCTTAATACGAAAGTTGATATTTTACAAAGTGACTTGACCAAAAGACAGTAAACAAAAACACTGGCACTTGAATGTTGAATGTCATTGGTATGAGTGAAAATTTATATTTTTCTGGGGTAGTGTGAGCTTTTTAATGTTAAAGATGCAACGTGTAGGGATTTCTCTTAAAATATGTCACCGTAAGAAGCTGTGATTACATGAAAATGCAAAAAGGTCCAAAATCAAACTGTCACTAGTGCTCCAGATACCTGCATGTCAGAAATCCAAATACACCAATCCTCTGTGTAAGGCCAACACAAAGCAAGCTAGATCCCCTGACTTTTCATCCAGTCTTTCCGGGAAGTTGCGATGGCAAAAATTACTTCCAATTAAACCAATCTCCGCAACCTTGCAACTATGCCGCAAATCTGATCAATCACTGTTGTTTCCGATGAGTTTCACCAATCACAGCAATCCCGTAATTTTCACTTTCTCCTGCAATTTCATTGCAAAAA